ATTAGAATTAAACTCATCCTATTTTTAAATGAGTTAATTTAGTCTGTTTTTTTTTATCCAAAACAAGAGTTATCTCCCTTCTAGAAGTTTCTAGACTAAAAATAACATTACTTAAAACGAGGCTATTAAAAACCGGATGTTAAGCGAAACAAGGATGTTATTTTATATAAGGGTATTTTTAATATGCTTTTTTTGATGGAATGTAGGAAATTGATTGAAGGTGTTTTTTGGTCTTTTTTAATGTAAGAATTTTATGAAATGTAGGATGTTTTATGAAATGTAGGATGTTTTATGAAATGTAGGATGTTTTGCTGTAAGAATTTATGAAATGTAGGGAGTTTAGGTCTTTTATTTGGGAGCTCATAGATTGGTTGCATTTCGAAATATGAAATTTTTAAAGTGCTATCCCTTCAGATTTTGCCAGTAGATTCCAATAATGCAAACCCAAAGAAAATCGATCTAGAGCTGATTTTCTATTTTTGCATATATTGAACTGTAGCACTTCCGGTCTTGCCAAAAAGTTCTAAGATATATATATGCACATCGTCGCCTATATCTAAGGTCTGTGAATGTTGAATGGGTGCTGCAACTACTGTAGTCTAAATTCTGGAAGGTTGTGTAAAAATCGAAAGCAAAAAAAAAAAAGAATTGACATTTGATAACACACTGGATCTTTGTGGACAAAAAATTCAAAAAATTATTGCTATCCCTGTTCATCAGAAAGTCTTTTATTTAAAGCTGGACATAAATATATATTTAGAGTTATTGCCCTTAATGATGAAAACGCGTTCAATTTTAGCTTGTAAACACTCTAGAAGGCACAATTCTTGATGAATTTTGACGATACTTGGTGTGAGTGTTTGTAATAACCCAAGGATAAACCCTATCAAAAAGCAGAAAAATTGAAAAATATTTAGTATGAGTTATTGCCCTTGTTCTTGAAAATGCGTTCAATTTGTAGCAGGTAAGGGACTATTCTTGATGGATTTTGACAAAACTTGGTGTAATTACCCAAGGATGAACCCTATTAAAAATCAGCGAAATCGAAAAATATTTAGCATGAGTTATTGCCTTTGTTCTTAAAAAGGCGTTCAAGTTTTAGCTCGTAAACACTCTAGAAGTCCCAATTCTTGACAGATTTTGATGAAACTTGGGTAATATTATTCAGTATCGCCTCAAAAAGTTCAAAAGAAGTGTATAACTGAAGGTTGAATATTTCATACTGGTGTTTGTTACTGTACTGCCAAATGTTTTTATTTAAAATCAAAGCTGCCAGTGGGCATATATTAACTTGCCTGGCAAGCAATCTTACTTAAATCCATACAATAGTATTCTATCAGCTTCCAAAAAGCATAACAAACTAAAAAGTTTAAGTAAACTAAAAATGGCAGTTGATTTAAAATATGTGAGAAAAACATTACTGTTTTAAGTAGGACTGAAATAAAACTAATAAAAGAAACAATTTTTATACGCCCACATGAAAATTTGTCAGTAAAAAAGAAGATACACAAACAGTTTTTTTACTGGTCCATTTTTAGTCCATCCAAATAATGTGGATACTAACACTTGGGTAAATATTCCAAAAATAATCTGCATTAGAAAAAACTAAGCAGTGTACAATTTTCAATCAGTCGTCTGTGACGATATCTAAAACCTCTGATGTCTGAATGAAAATTGGAATGGTGCAAATTGATGCCATTCTCTGCCTTGATAGACAGTTTTATACTTTATTCTTTACATATTATGTAGTTGTATTGAAGTGTATAAGATGTTTGATTGGAATAAACCATTGCAAAGGTAAAAAAAAGGGATTCTTTGGCATTTCTTAAAGGATTTCACTGAAGAATTAGTCGATAGTGTCAATAAAAACTTGATGTTGATTTTTTTCCAGAAAATTCAAAAGTGTTTAGATGCTGCTTGTAAATTAATTAGGAAAAAGACTGAGAATAAAGTTGTTAGGTAAGTAGAATTTATTATATTAAAGGTACCATGAAAGATTTTAACTGATTTTCTGTGGCAGTTTTAGTTGATTTTGATATTGAAAACAGAGTTAAATCTCTTGACCACTAATACAGTGGAGTTGCTGACAATCTGGAAACCCCGATATCTGCACGCTTTTTACTGGGAACGGAATATTTACTATGTAAAAGTAACCGTTAATCCGGTGCTCCGGTTTCCGGTTCCGCACGGCTGTGATTGGGAACCAATTATCAAATTCTATGGTAATTAGCATAATTAGCCTCGTTGATCGGTGTTTAATAAATCATTTTTTGAGAATATGCGGTTAATTTAATGTTAACGTGTATGCTATCTTTCGTTCAGTAA